AACTTAAAACTTGTACCAAAATTCATTCAGTTTGTGTAAATTTTAAATCTGATGATGGCGCTGTTGTCTCGCCAAAACCTAATGAAATAAACGATATTCAAATTTTTCCGAAAAATTCGGCCTTGTCTGAAAAGGTTTCAAGAAGGCAAAGAACTTTGTAAGGTCCACATATTTTTTTAAATCATTTTTTGGTGGAACCAAAATTAACTCGAGTAATACTTCGTCCAGGTTTGCTAAACACGCATTTCTGTTTGTTGTTATTGCGGATTATTTAATGTTATTGTGCAACGAAATGCGAGAGATTATTTTCTAAAACGCGTGCTATCATAAACGCGCGAAGAACTAGAATCAGTTAAAAAAAAAGTCTTAAATGTTAATTCATTTTTAAATAAAAACGAGATTTTTAAACATTTTCGCCTATAAGCTGTATATTTCATTTAATCCCTCTACTTTATTATCAGTTCTTTTGTTCTTTAAGTAGTTCTTCTGACTCATGTTTTGTTATTGATTTTAGAAAATTTTATTTTAAGTTCTTCAATGTTAAGAATGATATGAATCATTCTGCATCTTTAATGAAAAATTTAAAAGTAACGTGTTTCTTTTGGAACTTACTTACCAAGGTGGAACTGGAACGTTATAACCCGTTACATAAAAATAACCGGTTATCACACCTCTATTGTTTAGCGTTTTTACGAAAAACTTGCGTGATTCAACTTAAGGTACCGACACTGGTCGGGGCTGTGAATAAACCCCTGTTCCAAAATGTAATCTAGCTAAGAGGCGCCTCATAAACTCTTTCGGAGTTCTCCATTTTCCACTCCATCTAATGGAAATTTTAGCCACTCGGCAAACCCACAGGAAAAGTAACGAAGCGACTGCGAAAGTGACAAGATTATACTGAATATCAAAGGCTGATTAGTTGCGAATGGTGTTTTCCAACAGTTAAGCCTGAAATCGTCAACAGGTTTTGAATTTGCATATTTTTGCCCTCAACGGTTCAACTCTAATTGGGCCCAAATAGTTTCATTGTGAAATTGAGTGTTCAAGATTTTTGGGGCATTAGGGGCTTTGCCCAATGGCTGAGGGCAAACTCCGAACAATCCCGTCATCTGTTAGGCTTCCAAATATGGGATTAATAAGGCCTCTAGGGTTAAATGAACGCGATTTTCACCCAAAGGCATTGTAAAGGATTAATTTATCCCTTTGTAAAACCGAAAGTGCTAAGTGGAGTTTCGGGCAAGTAACAGGTTCCACTCAACGGAGTTCTGTTGCAGAACATTTATTCACTTTCCAAAAAAGGACAACTCTTTGGTTAGTTCGGTTAGTAGACAAATGTCCGGGACAGTCAGGGAGCTAATCCAATAAAACGGACACACAATACGACTTACCGGTTTTGACGAGCTTAAAAGTGACGGCATTGTGAGACTTGAGGTGTTCGTTATAGGAGGGATGGATCAGATCCTTCAGGGCCGATTCGTTCGAAGCCATATCGATGTTTTCGGTGCTTCAAATGCGCTCTTTCCTGCGAAGCGCGCTTTTGGACTTTCCCAGCTCGGGCCTTCTTTCTGAAACAGAACTGGTTACAAATAAGCTGCAAATCTTAGTTCGACTTGTTAGTATAAAAACACTCATTGCAGTAGCGGATATGAGTTGAACAATCGCCTGCAATCGGACCATCAAAAATAACACTTTTACGATGGCTATTTTAAAAATAATTGCGCTCGGAGCCTCTGATAGTCTCCGTATAAATAGTTCTGAATCGTCAAGGTTCCTTTCTGGGAAATCCATTAAAACTTCCAACATTTATTGCTGAACGTTTACTATTGTACATTACATCATGTAGCACTTATTAGTTGTTATGTGATTTCAAACACGCACAAACTTTCCATGTCAATAGTGGACAAACGATATTAACCTACGGGTGTGGACGAATAGAGTGAAATTGCCGCAAATGTTATATAGGGGCAGAGGATTAAAAAGCGATTCCTTTTAATGCCTCGTATTAACAAAGCAAACTTTCAGCAGCCCGCAATGGACTCAAAGAAGGTTCATTTATTTGGCTGGTTATTTTTACAATCCGGAGAAACAAATTTATCTTTACGAGCTAAAAACCGCAGTTCCTGATGTGAAGTCTGCGTAAGCGATGAACCAGAAAGTGAGGAAACGTCGTCTGGTCCAATAAAACAAAAAAGTAAAATTGCCTCAAAAATTCATAAATTTCCTTAGAACTATTTCGGCTAAAAGCAATTTCAAAAGTGGGTCCAGCTAGCGATGATGGGGTCGTAAATAAAAGACGCCAAAGTTAAAAAAAAGTGATTTCTGAATTTGAAAAACCCTTTCTGCAGAAAACTCAACTTTGTTATTGGCAACAAATCTAAGGGTGGTTCAATTTCAATTAAGCAAGTGACACTACCGTTTAAGGCGCGTACATACAAAAAAATGTAGGACAAACTTTCAGTTTATCGCCCTGTATTTGTGCGTATCACGTGCATTTATATGGTAAAGGCGAATAATTGAAAGCTGTTTGAAAAACGGAACGCTGTGTAAATACGTTGCAACGAGGCAATGCAAATATGATTTTATGTGAAACTTTGAGGCGCCTCCCGCACGCAAAAGCGACCGCGTCCTTCATTGCAAACACGTAATTTCGAACCTCTCAATCTGTTTGGACGAATTCAGAAGCTGAAACTGGCCGCATAAAAATGTCCACTATTTAATCACCCTGTTGGCACAGACAATTCGGCTTCGAAACCTATTTTTGCGCGGTCTATTTCGGACGCTCGATTCTTTTAATAAGTTTCTTCTTAGTTGTGCGAATCTGTTTACCAACCTGATTGCTAATAAAAAATCCATCGGCCATAAATTCGCTTTTGTTGGCAGGCAGATTGAAAACTTTATACAAAGCGTTTTATTGTTCGAAGGTGAGATTTAGAAGTCTGGTCAAAACCAATCAACAATT